ACGCGAACCGGATTTTCAACAACGCTTTATCTGTAGAGTGGGAAAGGGATCCTCCATAGGGAGAGGATAGTGGATACTTCAGCACTGCATTGTCATCGGGTCCAGGCGAATCTCCTTCGTCAGATCTGGATACGGCCTGGATCCGGCAGGCTGCAGGAAAACCTTGGGATAAACAAAGACACTAAAGTTAGCGTAGATGCCATTCTTCTTATGATGTAACGAGTACATCTGGATTTAAGGGAAGTGTTCCCAGTTCCGGCTGACCTAATCTATGCAGCCTAACATTGAATTATAGAAGTCTATAATGTATTATGTGTATGCTAGGTCAAAGAGATGTGTTTTTAGTCTAGCTTTGAACTGACAGAGTGTGTCTGCTTCCCGGACAATGGTAGGAAGACTGTTCCAAAGTTTTGGTGCTAAATAGGAAAAGGATCTCCCGCCAGCAGTCGATTTAGATATTCTAGGTATTATCAACTGGCCGGAGTTTTGAGATCGCAATAGACGTGAAGGACTATAATGCGTTAAAAGCTCGCTCAAGTACTGGGAGCTAAACCATTTAGTGATTTGTAAGTAATCAACAATATTTTAAAATGTATACGATGTTTAATAGGCAGCCAATGCAGTGTTGACAGAACCGGGCTAATATGGTCATATTTCCTGGTTCTGGTAAGAACTCGAGCTGCGGCGTTTTGAACTAGCTGTAGTTTGTTTATTAAGCGTGCAGGGCAACCACCCAGTAGAGCATTACAATAATCTAGCCTTGATGTCATGAACGCATGAACTAATTGTTCTGCATTTGTTAGTGAGAGCATATGGCGTAATTTAGATATGTTTTTAAGATGGAAAAATGCGGTTTTACAGATACTAGACACGTGACTTTCAAATGAGAGATTGGTATCAAAGAGCACACACACACACACACACACACACACACACACACCCAGGTTCCTAACCGACGACGAGGACTTAACAGAGCAACCATCAAGTGTTAGACAGTATTTTAGGTTATTACGTGTGGAAGATTTTTGTCCAATTATTAGAATCTCTGTTTTTTCAGAATTTAGTAGTAGGAAATTACTAGTCATCCAATTTTTTATATCGGCTATGCATTCCGTTAATTTTGTGAATTGGTAAGTTTCGTCGGGGCGTGAAGAAATATACAGCTGAGTATCATCGGCATAACAGTGAAAGCTAATTCCATGTTTCCTAATGATATCTCCTAATGGTAGCATGTACAGAGTGAACAGCAGCGGTCCTAGTACTGAGCCTTGTGGTACGCCATACTGAACTTGTGATCGATAAGACATCTCTTCATTTATTGCTACAAACTGATAACGGTCAGTTAAGTGTGATTTAAACCATGCTAATGCAATTCCACTAATGCCAACATAACTTTCGAGTCTATTTAAAAGAATGTTGTGGTCAATAGTATCAAATGCAGCACTAAGATCAAGTAACACTAATAGAGAGATACAACCACGATCGGATGATAAGAGCAAATCATTTGTGACTCTAATGAGAGCAGTCTCGGTACTATGGTACGGTCTAAATCCGGACTGAAAATCCTCCAGATATCATTTCTTTCTAGAAAGGAACACAGTTGTGAAGATACTGCTTTTTCTAATATCTTTGACAGAAAAGGCAGATTCGAGATCGGCCTGTAATTGACTAATTTTGTATGATCAAGTTGCGGTTTTTTAACAAGCGGTTTTATCATAGCCAGCTTAAAGGTTTTTGGTACGTATCCTAGAGACAAAGATGAATTAATGATAGTAAGAAGAGGATCTATGACCTCTGGAAACATCTCTTTCAGTAGCTTAGTCGGTATAGGGTCTAACATACATGTTGTCGATTTAGATGATTTAACAAGTTTAGAAAATTCGTCCTCTCCTATGGCAATAAATGAATAAAAATTTTCCTCATGGAGACTACAATGCACTGCCTGATGCGATACTGTGGTAGACGGTTGCACAGTTATAATTTTGTCCCTAATATTATCGATCTTATAAGTGAAGAAGTTCATAAAGTCATCACTGCTGTGTTGCTTGGACACTTCTGAGCTTGAAGCTTTCTTTTTCGTTAGTTTAGCTACTGTTTCAAATAAATACCTAGGATTATGTTTATTTTCTTCTAATAGGGTTGAAAAATAAGCAGATCTAGCAGCTTTTAAAGCCTCTCTGTAAGCAATCGAGCTCTCTTTCCATGAAATCCGAAATACCTCTAGTTTAGTTTTCTTCCAGTTGCGCTCCATTTTTCTGGCTGCTCTCTTAAGGGCCTGGGTGTGTGTGTGTGTGTGTGTGTGTGTGTGTGCTCGCTGTACCACGGAGTTGGACTATTTTCTTTAATCTTCTTTAAGCGCAATGGAGCAACTGCGTCTAAAGTGCTGGAAAAGAGAGAGTTAAAAGTTTCTGTTGCAATATCGAGTTCTTCTAAGCTATCTGGGATGCTGAGATGATGAAACTGATTAGGAAGATTATTGATAAAGCAATCTTTAGTGGCAGAAGTTATAGGTCTAACGTATTTATAACACGGAGTCGGCTTTGCAGCCTTGGCTAAATGTAATTTACATGAGACTAGATAATGATCTGAGATGTCATCGCTCTGCTGCAGAATTTCAACAGCATCAACATCTATTCCATGTGATAATATTAGATCTAGAGTATGATTACGATAATGAGTAGGTCCCGACACGTGTTGTCTAACTCCAATTGAGTTTACAATATCTTTAAATGCCAATCCCAATGCATCTTTTTCATTATCTACATGTATATTAAAATCACCAACAATTAGTACTTTATCTGCAGCCAATACTAAATCTGATAGAAAGTCAGCAAAAAAAGTGTTAAAATAACTAAAAACATGGCGGATGCGAGTCAGACGGTGAAGTAGAGAGGTTTAGATAAAGGGGTTTAAGTGATTAATAATCAGTTTCTAACCTGATGAAAATATTCAAAATAGAAGTCCTTGGATTAAAACAGATTCAGTACTCTTTCAGAAGTTGTGTAATAGCGCCCCCTACAGTATAACAGTGAAAACACAAAAAGCCAGAAAATTACAGCAATGGCGGGGAAAGAGTTAATAATCCCTTAAAATCTTTGTGCATTTATTCATTAGGTAGATCATTTCCTAAGCAACTTCCCAGTGAAGTACAATTCAAATAACCACACACTCAATGAAGTCTATGCTATATAGACATGCGGATGCAGGGCTATCATGACATACCTGAATATTTTTGAGAGACATCCCTCGGTTGTTGATTGTACTTTTCCTCTTCCTGTAGCAATTTGAGAACACAGCACAAGCGAGCCAAGGCCACATATAGACATGATCCAGGGACATAAGATTATAGGCTCTTAGTTCAGCACTGAAAGAATAATCTGACCAAACAACACAAAAGTTCCCAGTTATTTAGAGCTTAATATTAGTACCTGAAAGAAATATTAGCACCTTCAGAAAGGGCACTGGGTCTGCAAGTCAGCTTGGTTATAATGTTTCTTAAACGTAGTGTAATTTCACACCACCACAATGAACACAAGATTGTGAATTTGTATGGAAAACTTTATTTGATAATAAAAATAGCATTCACAGACTTCTTTTTGATAGCTACATATACATTGTGATCCATTCAAACAAGAAGAAAAAAAACTTTACCGTGTAAGTCAACGTCTACTTGAACTTAGACTAATGTTATGTATAACTTCATGAGTCAAATAAAGCTATGGACAATGCAGAATTTGTATATATGCATCGTTTTGTAAAAAACAAAACAAAAAAAAGACCATTTTATCGACAGAAAAAAGCATTTAAAATCCATAGAACTTTGCAGAGACCACAGACAGTACACGAGATCTGTAGAAACGAAGCAGGCTATCCATCACAACAGATATTCAACCGCCTTCCGTGAAAAAACATCAGTCTCCCACCTTTCCTGGAGGGAGGAAAACAAAAACTAACTTCACATACGCCTGATTCTGAGTACACATGATCGTAGTCCCAGCGGGCCGAGTATAAACATGTTAGTATCTTCTTCTAGGTGGACATCTTTCATAAATTCTTTTTTGTACAGAGAAAAGGCAACAGTATCCTTTCCTACACGGGTTTAAAGTACATACAGTAATAAAAGTCTGTACAAAAGACAGCGGCGGATTCGTCCATTTCCATACAGTGCTGTTCAGATGACACTGAAGGAACTCCCTGTTCTTGTTCCTGGTTGAGAGATTACGGTCCTGTCGAAGCGTGTTCCCAAACGGACAGGTATTGCGTGTCGAGAGCGTGACGGAAACACGTGGCTCAGTTCGGCAGATTGTGCCAGGTGCCGTTTTCATGGAGTCTCCTGTAACTGGACGTTCAGGCCACACATTTCTCAACACCGTTCAGAGATTCAGAGCCTGTCACTGGCCTTTGGTACTGGACTGTGTGGAGGTAAATGTGGCTGTGTAATGGACGCTCCAAAGTATTTCAGACCTCTGATTGAGATGATTGTGAACTGCCACTAATAAGTATGCAGGGACTAAAATCAGACAACTGTCCTCATATTTCATTCCTCCAGTGTTTGCATGTATGGGCTCAGTTCCTGTAGCGCAGCTGCTCTCAGTGCTTCATCTTCCAGAGGAACGCCTGCTGATAAGACATACAGCTCCAACGCACTTTTTAAAAGCACCTGATTAGTTCATAAAATATACGTTTTGTAATAACTTGCTTTAAGCTAATGTCGGGTCAAGTTTTCTGTACACGTGTGCCTTTAGTCTAATTTCTGGTGATTATGGCAAAAAAACAAAACAACAACAACAACAACAAAACTTTGTGCCACAAGATAATGCCTTTCTGCTCTCAGTTCTTCCGCGCTTTTTTTGCTAATGGGCGGCTCGTGCCTCAGTCCAGTGCAGTGTAAAGACAAGCTCAGATAGTGTCCGAATGATGCTTTTCAGCCCGTCAAGTAACACTTCAATTTTTCAAAAAATAAATATACAGCTTCAATATATTACTTCCTTAAACAGTTTTGCCACATCTACTCAAATGTACAAACAAAGAAACAAAAGTTGAATTCTTGTGCTCTAGTTCAATAAATCTGAATCTGGAGAAAAGAGGACACAAAGTAGATGTAGAGAACAAAACAGTTTTAGTCCGTACCTTCTTGACAAAACATGGATCTCACTCACAACAACATATAAAAACAAATGGACAGATGAAACTAGAACTCCACTGCTGAAGGAGTGCTGAAGCGGTCAGATACTGAGGTCTGCGTGGTTCTCCTTGTAAAGCCGCCTCCTGCTGGGAGAGTTCTGGCCGATCCCGCTCCTGATCCCGCTCCCGCTCCCGGCTCTCAGAGCGTTGTAATAATCCCTCAGCTGCGGAGTGACGCCCTCCTCCAGGAGACTCCCATCGCTGCTGCTGTCCGATCTCCCGCGGGAGGCTCTTTCACCGGCTCCGTTCAGGAAATATCCCTGTCTTTCAGCTTGACTGGACGGAGAGCCGTTGTGCAGAAGGTTCCTGTTCTTTAGCCCGCGCTCCGGGGTGCGACCCAGCGTTTGGGCCGCGGCTCTGTCGGGCCACTCCGGGGTGCGGCCCAGCGTTTGGGCCACGGCTCTGTCGGGCCGCTCCGGGTTGCGGCCCAGCGTTTGGGCCACGGCTCTGTCGGGCCGCTCCGGGGTGCGGCCCAGCGTTTGGGCCACGGCTCTGTCGGGCCGCTCCGGGGTGCGGCCCAGCGTTTGGGCCACGGCTCTGTCGGGCCGCTCCGGGGTGCGGCCCAGCGTTTGGGCCACGGCTCTGTCGGGCCGCTCCGGGGTGCGGCCCAGTGTTTGGGCCACGGCTTTGTCGGGTCTTTCCGGGGTGGAGGTGAAGTAGCCCTCGCTGCTGGGGTTTCGGCGGGGCGTCTGCGGGTCTCGTTGGGAATGGGAATGCCTCTCAGGAGTGGAGATCTGGCTCAGCAGGTCCTGGGAAGAGGCCTGATAGCTGCGTTCAGGGGACTGATCTTTATAAGATCGAGTGATGCGACGGTCCACAGACTTGGCCCGACGGCGGTCCGGAGAGCTGTTGCGCTTCCGGCCGGAGGAGCGATCCAAGGATCCACTACGCATCTGAGATCCGGTGATACTTTCCCTGTCTATGGATGGTTTGCGGCCTTGTCTCTGTAGATCCTGATTGGAAGATTTCCTCCCGAATCCGCCCTCTTTCCTTAATGTTTTGAAGAGCTTGGCAATGCCACTCTCGGACTCGGACTTCTTGACCCTGCGGTGGGAGTTGTTTTTGGGGCTGGGCTGGTTGTTCCAGGACAGGTGGTGTGGATCCGGGCCGGAGTCCTTCTCTCGCTCTGGCTGTCTGGCCTTCAGGTGCTGCTGCTTGGGCTGGGATGGGGTGGGATATTCAGATGTATAGCTGGACTCTGACGGTGGATGAAACGGGCCGCTGACCAGCAAAGTCCTCACTTCCGAATTATTTTGTGGCCCGGGCGAGGGAGGGTAGCTGTCATTTGGGCCGTCTGGAAATTAATGAAGAAAGTCTTTCAGTAAGGAACACTAACAGCACTCAGCTTGTATAGGTCCTTGCACACTGAGTCCGAAATTTTCGTATGCATTTTTTCGTATTCGTCATTCGGTGGCTCTGAATTGTCAAACATCTCACAAAATGCTGGCTGCGGATGCGAAAAACGCAGAAAATCAAACCTGATCCCAATTTTTTTATGATGGACGAAAGTTTCGGAGGCAGTGTGTAAACGTGATTGATACAACGTGAGGTCGTATTTAGTTTTTTACGTGCAAGAATTTCTGACTCAGTGTGCAAGGACCCTAACAGTAAAGACGTCACATGACCCTTTAACAAACAGGCAGCACTTCATGCAATCAAACATGAAAGCAAAATGCTCATACAACAACCAGTCAAAGCTTTGGACACAGCCCTACTCATTCTTTATTATATCAAGTCATCTAAACAATGACACAAATCGAAGAATGGAAGTTATGTAGTGACCAAAGAATCTTGTCTAAGTTTCTGTAAAGTACCGCTTTGCCCTCGAGGGCTGCGCTCCTGCAAAGTTCAGCTCCAACCCGGATCAAACTCACCTGATCAAGCTCCTCAAGCTCCTATTATCACTGCAGTTGCAGACAGGTGAGTTTGATCGAGGCTAGAGCTGAACTGGCCTAGATTATAGCTCTGAAAACTATGTTTGGGTTCATCGGAACGATGAGCTGCAGTTGCCGACACACAAACAGCAGAAATCTCTGCTGCTCAAGCATATCACTTTCAGACACGTGAGAGGCACAATCAGTGAGGAGTAATTTAAGTGACTCAAATCATCAAATGATAAAATTTGGAGGCATCGCTAACGAATATTTGCTCCAAATGCCATGCGTCCTTATTATTGTCAAACAGATATACAGTGTTGGACACTTTCAGGCATTTCCCAAATGTGATCATGGTTTAAAGTGCCCCTAATATGTTTTTTTTTCTTCAAATATTATCTTTCATGCAGTGTGTAATAAAGCTGTTTATGAATGTAAAAAGTGCAAAGTTTTAAAGATCAAAGTGTAGATAAATGGATTTATTGTCTCCTAAAAGAAAGAATCGATTCTGAACTGAAACGAGTCGTCAGTAATTCAGTCTCTCTTCCTGCTGAACCTGCGTAGGTTTGTAACTAATTAGCATAATGCCCTCCTCTGGTGTTGATTGGCTGAACAGTGTCTCTTTGCCCCGCCCTCAAACACTAGTTTATCTGAGATTGGGAGAGTTTGGTTCATGTTGTTCACGTCGAGAACACGCCATTTTCTTTTTTTTTTATTATTGTTCGACATGTTATAACAACAAAAACTTTGACATAAACATTCACTTATTCACATACAGATAATCAAAAGAAAGGGAAACAAATCAAAGACGCTGTTTTCTGCTGCCAAAGCAAATCCACTTTGATGAGATTGATACGGTGAAACCCACGCCATCGTTACTGTTCGTATCACTGTGATCAAGAGCTGAGGTTCAGATATGATAATGAGCGTTTGCTTTCTGACCAATCACAGCAGAGCAGCTCTCAGAGAGGCGGGGCTTAGAGAGACTGAATCTCCAATGGAAGCGTTTCAGACACTGAGAGAAAGAGCTGAAGCTGCAGTGGAGATTATGAGGACATTAGTGTGTGTTTGATCATGGATGAATGTGAATCTGTTGTAGGAGACGCCAAAACAACATAAGCAGCCTTTAAAATAGCAGAATAGGGGCTCTTTAATACAATTAGGTGGATGAAGGGTTTTAGGACACCCCAGGAAAACGAGATGTCAAAAACTCTCACTTCCCTGCGTTGCAACAGGAGCGCCAGAACTCTTCCTGAACACAAGAGTTATCAGGAGGTTTTGGTCATAGTTGAGAAGTTTTGGAAAGAACGTTTTTTATGGACATATTTAGAATTTGTCTTGGTGTTTGTCCCGCCACCAATGTTCCATAATTCACATAATAATAGGGTGATGGAAACATAATAGATGTCACAACGCAAAAAAACATTAATTGTCCAAAAAATAGGCTTACTTTTCTTTATGCAAGATTTTTTTTATTCTTCTGATTTAAAAAAATGGGATACGGACACGCTCTTGACAGCTTTCGTAACATTCACCCATCTGTTATTAGCCATTAACAGAAACAACAACATGACAGCATCACGCATGCATCCGAGCATCATCCATAGGGGAATATGAATCCATTGAGCATGGGGTCATAGGTCAGCGGGATGTAGCGTGGCATGAGGGCGGGTGAGGGAACAACACACGCTTGTGACGCGCCACTGGGTGATGGGAAGGGTTGACACACACTGTGCTTTACAAACCGTGGCTTGGTTTTGACCCATAAGGTAGTAGCAGGGCTCGCCCAACTTATCATTCCTCAGACAGGCAGCGAGATGCGGACCCATCATAGCTAAGGAGCCCAGCAGAGAACAGAGAGAGAAACAGGGGTGAATCAAGAGAAACACTGGCTGAAGAGCTCACTCTCGACATCAATACAGCAGACACTGAATATCAGGGATATTACCCATCTGCACTATCGGATGAGAACAAAACTAGAACTCAATCCATCGGATTAATGGCACTTTTTAGAGCTGCTTTACAGCTGAATCGACTTCATTTCACAATGGACAAATTTTGCAACATCAACACTATTATTGAACTGAAATGAATCAACATACGACTGACTTAAAGTGACACTATAGTCTTCTGTAGAGCTGCTTATAGCTGAATTGAGCTCATTTCATAATAAAATGAGCTCCAGTAAAAGAGATTTTTCTCTACTGGTTAAATAAAGGTAATTAAATTAACTTTACACAGTTATTGAACTGAACTGAATCAACACTGATCTGAATAATGACTTCTGTAGAGCTGAATGTGAATGTGTCTCATATTCAAGTCTTAACTTCAGACTTCTCAATAGAGGCTTATTGATCACCAAGAAGAACCGATTTAACAGTGGAGAACAAGAAGAGAGGACAGTTCAGGACAGATAAAAACATGGATGCTGAAGATTTCCCGCATGGATACGCACCGTACTCTGGGACGGATCCATCTCCTCTCTTCAGCACCAGTCGGGCTCGTCTTCCTCCGGTCTTGATCAGCTCGATGGCGCGGGAATGATTCATATTTTTTGTAGTTTCACCGTTGATCTCCAGAATTTCATCACCGACCTGAAAGCAGGCGGACACCAGAGTGAGCTCGTGGGAGGATCAAGAAGAACATCCACAACTGGGAGCTTCATGAAAATGTTATTAAAGTTGTGAACATACACTTGTTAGTGAATCTGGACCTGTACTGAACGCCTGTACTGAAAAGGTTTTCTGCTGTTCTCAGTTTAGAGGAGGAAATGGAAACATGTATCTTGGGAGCCCTGATCTTAGATCAGCAGGCATTAACCAATGGAAACTATCAGTATGTTGATCAGTCTCTTAGTACTGTGTATTCCTCAACCTGGGTTACTTCCAACAATGATGCTTAGTAGAGCAGTCTGTCAGGAGATCGTAAAGCAATAGAGCGGATCTTTCAGAGTCTGTGGGATAAAGATCAATCGGTCATTGAGGAGTTCGAGGATTGCATTAACACTCTGAGAAGAACAGATCTCCAGAGTAACAGTGGACTAACTGGGGAACTAATGATTTCACACTCTTCATATCATCAGTTTGTATGAAGAAATTCAGAAAGAAAGTTGAACTGCCTCCATTACAGTTTTTCTGTACTGTTTTCTGATAAGTATCATACGATATCCAAGTGACAGATTGAGAGGAATAGTTAGAGAGTAGAAAGAGGGGGATAGAGAGACGCACTTCTCTGACAGATTCTGAACTCATGATGGCGACACACATCATATCTCAGATTAAGATGGAGGATTGTGTTATCGATGTGAAAGCAGAAAGAGTTCAGTCCGTGTGTGTCTTACCCTCATCTTGCCGTTCCTGGTGGCCGCTCCGTCCTCAGCCAACCTCAGCACGTACAGATCCATGCTGTACTCCTTCCCACCTCGCAGACTGAAGCCGAAGCCTTTACTCTCCCGCTCCAGATCCACGGAGTAAAACTCTGCCTCCTGAACACACATCATCAAAATCACGACACACATTCTTCTGGCTGCACTTTATTGACCTGCACGTTCAGTGTACTTACCCAAGAAAACAGAGTGTTATAAGGTAACTGCATCAGTCACATCACACTTTATTGTAATTAACTATTAATGGGGGGTTGAGAGGTGCAAAAAAAAATCATATTTTATTTGATATATATATTGAATGTCTAAGATATTTCTCAGTGTGATCAAATGGAGAAATACAGTTGCAATTGAAATTATTCAAACCCCACTGCAAATCAGGTTTATTGGCAAAATTTAAAGACTTTCAGCTGTTTGCAATGAACAAATCAAACAAAAGTAATTAAAATAACTCAACAAAACAAATATTTCAAGTGGTTTCCCCAAATTCAACTGAAAATGCAACTTTTAATTGAGACTTCTGCAGTCTCAAAATTATTCAATCCCTTCATGGCAAGTATCTTTAGCACTTAGTAGAGCAGCCGTCTGCTGTTGAGCTGCTAAAACGAGATGTATAATCGACAGCAGCTTCTGCCAGCGTTTCTGAGGAATCTGAGCAACTATATTCCAGTTCAGGAATATTCTTGGGCTTGTGTTCTGCAACCGCCTTCAAATCCCTCCAGAGGTGTTCTATGGGGTTCGAGTCAGGAGACTGTGCTGCCACTGTATCTCCCAGGACTTCTCCTGACACCAAGCCTGAGTGGAGTTTGAGGAATGCTTGGGATCGGATGATGTTCTCTCCTAGGATCTCCTGATACTTCAGTGATCAATCTCTCCTTCCACACGCTGCAGGTTTCCGGAGCCGGAGGATATTGATCCGCCGCAGAGCATCACGAGCTCCACACGCTGCAGGTTTCCGGAGCCGGAGGATATAGATCCGCCGCAGAGCATCACGAGCTCCACACGCTGCAGGTTTCCGGAGCCAAAGGATATAGATCCGCCACAGAGCATCACGAGCTCCACACGCTGCAGGTTTCCGGAGCCAAAGGATATAGATCCGCCACAGAGCACCACAAGCTCCACACGCTGCAGGTTTCCAGAGCCGGAGGATATAGATCCGCCACAGAGCATCACAAGCTCCACACGTTGCAGGTTTCCAGAGCCGGAGGATATAGATCCGCCGCAGAGCATCACGAGCTCCACACGCTGCAGGTTTCCAGAGCCGGAGGATATAGATCCGCCGCAGAGCATCACAAGCTCCACACGCTGCAGGTTTCCGGAGCCGGAGGATATAGATCCGCCACAGAGCATCACAAGCTCCACACGCTGCAGGTTTCCGGAGCCGGAGGATATAGATCCGCCACAGAGCATCACAAGCTCCACACGTTGCAGGTTTCCAGAGCCGGAGGATATAGATCCGCCGCAGAGCATCACAAGCTCCACACGCTGCAGGTTTCCAGAGCCGGAGGATATAGATCCGCCGCAGAGCATCACAAGCTCCACACGCTGCAGGTTTCCGGAGCCGGAGGATATAAATCCGCCGCAGAGCATCACAAGCTCCACACGCTGCAGGTTTCCGGAGCCAAAGGATATAGATCCGCCGCAGAGCATCACAAGCTCCACACGTTGCAGGTTTCCTGAGCCGGAGGATATAGATCCGCCGCAGAGCATCACAAGCTCCACACGCTGCAGGTTTCCGGAGCCGGAGGATATAGATCCGCCGCAGAGCATCACGAGCTCCACACGCTGCAGGTTTCCGGAGCCGGAGGATATAGATCCACCGCAGAGCATCACGAGCTCCACTTGCTGCAGGTTTGCAGTGCCGGAGGATATAGATCCGCCGCAGAGCATCACAAGCTCCACACGCTGCAGGTTTCCGGAGCCGGAGGATATAGATCCGCCGCAGAGCATCACGAGCTCCACACGCTGCAGGTTTGCAGTGCCGGAGGATATAGATCCGCCGCAGAGCATCACGAGCTCCACACGCTGCAGGTTTCCGGAGCCGGAGGATATAGATCCGCCGCAGAGCATCACAAGCTCCACACGCTGCAGGTTTCCAGAGCCGGAGGATATAGATCCGCCGCAGAGCATCACAAGCTCCACACGCTGCAGGTTTCCGGAGCCAAAGGATATAGATCAGCCACAGAGCATCACGAGCTCATCACGCTGCAGGTTTCCGGAGCCGGAGGATATAGATCCGCTGCAGAGCATCACAAGCTCCACACGCTGCAGGTTTGCAGAGCCGGAGGATATAGATCCGCCGCAGAGCATCACGAGCTCCACACGCTGCAGGTTTGCAGAGCCGGAGGATATAGATCCGCCGCAGAGCATCACAAGCTCCACACGCTGCAGGTTTGCAGAGCCGGAGGATATAGATCCGCCGCAGAGCATCACGAACTCCACACGCTGCAGGTTTCCAGAGCCGGAGGATATAGATCCGCCGCAGAGCATCACCAGCTCCACACGCTGCAGGTTTGCAGAGCCGGAGGATATAGATCCGCCGCAGAGCATCACGAGCTCCACACGCTGCAGGTTTCCGGAGCCGGAGGATATAGATCCGCCGCAGAGCCTCACAAGCTCCACTTGCTGCAGGTTTCCGGAGCCAGAGGATATAGATCCGCCGCAGAGCATCACGAGCTCCACATGCTGCAGGTTTCCGGAGCCGGAGGATATAGATCCGCCGCAGAGCATCACGAGCTCCACTTGCTGCAGGTTTCCGGAGCCGGAGGATATAGATCCACCGCAGAGCATCACGAGCTCCACATGCTGCAGGTTTCCGGAGCCGGAGGATATAGATCCGCCGCAGAGCATCACGAGCTCCACTTGCTGCAGGTTTCCGGAGCCGGAGGATATAGATCCACCGCAGAGCATCACGAGCTCCACATGCTGCAGGTTTCCGGAGCTGGAGGATATAGATCCGCCGCAGAGCATCACGAGCTCCACTTGCTGCAGGTTTCCGGAGCCAGAGGATATAGATCCGCCGCAGAGCATCACGAGCTCCACATGCTGCAGGTTTGCAGAGCCGGAGGATATAGATCCGCCGCAGAGCATCACGAGCTCCACATGCTGCAGGTTTCCGGAGCCGGAGGATATAGATCCGCCGCAGAGCATCACAAGCTCCACACGCTGCAGGTTTCCGGAGCCGGAGGATATAGATCAGCGCAGAGCATCACGAGCTCATCACGCTGCAGGTTTCCGGAGCTGGAGGATATAGATCCGCCGCAGAGCATCACGAGCTCCACACGCTGCAGGTTTCCGGAGCCGGAGGATATAGATCCGCTGCAGAGCATCACGAGCTCCACACGCTGCAGGTTTGCAGTGCCGGAGGATATAGATCCGCCGCAGAGCATCACAAGCTCCACACGCTGCAGGTTTGCAGTGCCGGAGGATATAGATCCACCGCAGAGCATCACGAGCTCCACACGCTGCAGGTTTCCGGAGCCGGAGGATATAGATCCGCCGCAGAGCATCACAAGCTCCACACGCTGCAGGTTTGCAGTGCTGGAGGATATAGATCCGCCGCAGAGCATCACGAGCTCCACATGCTGCAGGTTTCCAGAGCCGGAGGATATAGATCCGCCGCAGAGCATCACGAGCTCCTCACGCTGCAGGTTTCCAGAGCCGGAAGATATAGATCCGCCGCAGAGCATCACGAGCTCCACATGCTGCAGGTTTCCAGAACCGGAAGATATAGATCCGCCGCAGAGCATCACGAGCTCCACTTGCTGCAGGTTTGCAGTGCTGGAGGATATAGATCCGCCGCAGAGCATCACGAGCTCCTCACGCTGCAGGTTTCCAGAGCCGGAAGATATAGATCCGCCGCAGAGCATCACGAGCTCCACTTGCTGCAGGTTTGCAGAGCCGGAGGATATAGATCCGCCGCAGAGCATCACGAGCTCCATACGCTGAACTGTAGACAGAGTTCTTACAGCTTATGCTTCATTCCTCTTCCTCAGACACACCGCTGATCCACAGGGCCGAGAAGCTCCAGTTGTGTTTCATCGCTCCACAGATCAATATCCCTAAACCTCCGTGGATTATTTATATGATTTTGAGCACTTTTCTTATGGGTTTGTGTCAGTAGTGGTGTATTCCTGGAGTTTTGATGCATTTAGAACGAACTTTACTGTGCAGCTGAACCTCAGTGTCTGTGGCCACCAGCTCTTCTGCAGTCACTCCAGGGTTTACTGAGCCATTGATATCTTCCTCCTGCCCGTCCAGGGAGTGTAACCACTGCTCCTTTAACTCTGAACTCGTCCAACGGTGTCTCGAGGAACATTTAGTGTCTTTGCTGTCTTTCTGTATCCTGTTCCTTGTTTGTGAAGGGCGATGATATCTTCTCTTAACTTATTGGACCATTCTTTTGCCTTAGCCATATTTCTAACTTGCAGTCAAACAAACCTCCCCAGTTCAGATATTTCATGTGTTCTGGCTCAAGCACACCTGGTGCAGCTAATGAAGCCCTTGATTAGCAAGACGACACCTGTTCTGCAGATCTGTGCCGTTGTGAGGAATTATATTCAGTGGGTTGAATAATTTTGAAACTGCAGAAGTCATTAAAAGTTGCATTTTCAATTAAATTTGGGGAAACCACTTGAAACATCTGTTGTGTTGAGCTATTTCAATTACTTTTGTTTGTTTTCTTCATTGCAAACAGCTGAAAGTCAGTCAATTTTGCCAATAAACCTGATTTGCAGAGGGGGTTGAATAATTTCGCTTGCAACTGTAGATCCAAGGGATCTCACATGTTTCTTTCATTGCTGCATGTATAAGCTTATAAACACTGAGATCAGAAAACACGCTAAGCCTGCGTGCATCACTAATACCCAATCAAACTTTGAGTTTGTGCATTTTGGGAAGTGTAATAAATTCTCAAATGATGTATGATGCATGCTCACCTGCTTGTGAATTAAAAACAAATATTTGACCTGTATATTTATGCCAAATGATGTGCTGTCAATAATGTTCTATGGCTGTATCATCTGTATCTGTTAGCATTACTTCATGCACTGTGAACTAACACGAACAATGAACAACTGTACTTTTATTAACCAACATGACAAAGATAAGTAAATGCTGTAAAATATATTGCATGTTAATTAATGTATTAACTAATGTAAACGAATGAGACATTACTGTAAAGTGTTCCCAGAAAGACTCTTCACCAACTGTAAAACTGTGAACTGCAGAACAAACACACTAAAGCAGAAACCACAAACACAGCGGTGTGTGTTCTGGTGCGACCACGCTCTCACCTGACTGTAGGCTGGCAGGTGAGCGTGTGTGTGTGTGTGTGTGTGTGTTCTGGTGCGAGAGCGCCCTCACCTGACTGTAGGCTGGCGGGTGAGCGTGAGTGTGTGTGTTCTGGTGCGACCGCGCTCTCACCTGACTGTAGGCTGGCGGGTGAGCGTGTGTGTGTGTGTGTGTGTTCTGGTGCGAAAGCGCCCTCACCTGACTGTAGGCTGGGGGGTGAGCGTGAGTGTGTGTGTTCTGGTGCGACCGCGCTCTCACCTGACTGTAGGCTGGCGGGTGAGCGTGTGTGTGTGTGTGTGTGTTCTGGTGCGAAAGCGCCCTCACCTGACTGTAGGCTGGCGGGTGAGCGTGAGTGTGTGTGTTCTGGTGCGACCGCGCCCTCACCTGACTGTAGGCTGGCGGGTGAGCGTGTGTGTGTGTGTGTGTGTGTTCTGGTGCGAAAGCGCCCTCACCTGACTGTAGGCTGGCGGGTGAGCGTGTGTGTGTGTTCTGGTGCGACCACGCTCTCACCTGACTGTAGGCTGGCGGGTGAGCGTGAGTGTGTGTGTTCTGATGCGACCGCGCTCTCACCTGACTGTAGGCTGGCGGGTGAGCGTGAGTGTGTGTGTTCTGGTGCGACCACACTCTCACCTGACTGTAGGCTGGCGGGTGAGCGTGTGTGTGTGTGTGTGTGTTCTGGTGCGAAAGCGCCCTCACCTGACTGTAGGCTGGCGGGTGAGTGTGTGTGTGTGTGTTCTGGTGCGACCACGCTCTCACCTGACTGTAGGCTGGCGGGTGAGCGTGAGTGTGTGTGTTCTGGTGCGACCACACTCTCACCTGACTGTAGGCTGGCGGGTGAGCGTGTGTGTGTGTTCTGGTGCGAAAGCGCCCTCACCTGACTGTAGGCTGGCGGGTGAGCGTGTGTGTGTGTGTGTGTGTGTTCTGGTGCGAGAGCGCCCTCACCTGACTGTAGGCTGGCTGGTGAGCGTGTGTGTGTTCTGGTGCGAAAGCGCCCTCACCTGACTGTAGGCTGGCGGGTGTGTGTGTGTGTGTGTGTTCTGGTGCGAGAGCGCCCTCACCTGACTGTAGGCTGGCGGGTGAGCGTGTGTGTGTGTGTGTTCTGGTGCGAGAGCGCCCTCACCTGACTGTAGGCTGGCGGGTGTGTGTGTGTGTGTGTGTTCTGGTGCGACCACGCTCTCACCTGACTGTAGGCTGGCGGGTGAGCGTGAGTGTGTGTGTTCTGGTGCGACCACACTCTCACCTGACTGTAGGCTGGCGGGTGAGCGTGTGTGTGTGTTCTGGTGCGAAAGCGCCCTCACCTGACTGTAGGCTGGCGGGTGAGCGTGTGTGTGTGTGTGTGTGTGTTCTGGTGCGAGAGCGCCCTCACCTGACTGTAGGCTGGCGGGTGTGTGTGTGTGTGTGTGTGTGTTCTGGTGCGAGAGCGCCCTCACCTGACTGTAGGCTGGCGGGTGTGTGTGTGTGTGTGTGTGTGTTCTGGTGCGAGAGCGCCCTCACCTGACTGTAGGCTGGCGGGTGAGCGTGTGTGTGTGTGTGTGTTCTGGTGCGAGAGCGCCCTCACCTGACTGTAGGCTGGCGGGTGTGTGTGTGTGTGTGTGTGTGTGTTCTGGTGCGAGAGTGCCCTCACCTGACTGTAGGCTGGCGGGTGAGCGTGTGTGTGTGTGTTCTGGTGCGAGAGCGCCCTCACCTGACTGTAGGCTGGCGGGTGAGCGTGTGTGTGAGTGTGTGTTCTGGTGCGAGAGCGCCCTCACCTGACTGTAGGCTGGCGGGTGAGCGTGTGTGTGTGTGTTCTGGTGCGAAAGCGCCCTCACCTGACTGTAGGCTGTTGGGTGAGCGTGTGTGTGTGTGTATTCTGGTGCGAGAGCGCCCTCACCTGACTGTAGGCTGGCGGGTGTGTGTGTGTGTGTGTGTGTGTGTGTTCTGGTGCGAAAGCGCCCTCACCTGACTGTAGGCTGGCGGGTGTGTGTGTGTGTGTGTGTGTGTTCTGGTGCGAGAGCGCCCTCACCTGACTGTAGGCTGACGGGTGTGTGTGTGTGTTCTGGTGCGAGAGCGCCCTCACCTGACTGTAGGCTGTTGGGTGAGCGTGTGTGTGTGTGTATTCTGGTGCGAGAGCGCCCTCACCTGACTGTAGGCTGGCGGGTGTGTGTGTGTGTGTGTGTGTGTTCTGGTGCGAGAGCGCCCTCACCTGACTGTAGGCTGACGGGTGCGTGTGTGTGTTCTGGTGCGAGAGCGCCCTCACCTGACTGTAGGCTGACGGGTGCGTGTGTGTGTTCTGGTGCGAGAGCGCCCTCACCTGACTGTAGGCTGACGGGTGTGTGTGTGTGTTCTGGTGCGAGAGCGCCCTCACCTGACTGTAGGCTGGCGGGTGTGTGTGTGTGTGTGTGTTCTGGTGCGAGAGCGCCCTCACCTGACTGTAGGCTGACGGGTGTGTGTGTGTGTTCTGGTGCGAGAGCGCCCTCACCTGACTGTAGGCTGGCCGGTGTGTGTGTGTGTGTGTGTTCTGGTGCGAGAGCGCCCTCACCTGACTGTAGGCTGGCGGGTGTGTGTGTGCGTTCTGGTGCGAGAGCGCCCTCACCTGACTGTAGGCTGGCGGGTGTGTGTGTGTGTGTGTGTTCTGGTGCGAGAGCGCCCTCACCTGACTGTAGGCTGGCGGGTGTGTGTGTGCGTTCTGGTGCGAGAGCGCCCTCACCTGACTGTAGGCTGGCGGGTGAGCGTGTGTGTGAGTGTGTGTTCTGGTGCGAAAGCGCCCTCACCTGACTGTAGGCTGGCGGGTGTGTGTGTGTGTGTGTGTGTGTGTGTTCTGGTGCGAAAGCGCCCTCACCTGACTGTAGGCTGGCGGGTGAGCGTGTGTGTGTGTGTGTGTTCTGGTGCGAAAGCGCCCTCACCTGACTGTAGGCTGGCGGGTGAGTTAGCGCCGGTTTGGGTTTGTTATTCCTGTTGGACAAACAGAACGAAAAATCATGTTACTGATGTTCACCAATCATTACTAAATCAGTGCATACAAACACATATTCCACAGACAATAGTGAAGTGTGTGTGTGTGTGTGTTTGTGTGTAAGAGAGAGAGAGTGTGTGTGTGTTTCACCTGTGCTCTGTGGTGTGTGTGTGTTTCACCTGTGCTCTGTGCTGCTCTGAGGTGTGTGTGTGTGTGTGTGTGTGTCACCTGGGCTCTGTGCTGCTCTGAGGTGTGTGTGTGTGTGTGTGTGTGTCACCTGGGCTCTGTGCTGCTCTGAGGTGTGTGTGTGTGTGTCACCTGGGCTCTGTGCTGCTCTGAGGTGAGTGTGTGTGTGTGTGTGTGTCACCTGGGCTCTGTGCTGCTCTGAGGTGTGTGTGTGTGTTTCACCTGGGCTCTGTGCTGCTCTGAGGTGTGTGTGTGTGTGTCACCTGGGCTCTGTGCTGCTCTGAGGTGAGTGTGTGTGTGTGTGTCACCTGGGCTCTGTGCTGCTCTGAGGTGTGTGTGTGTGTGTCACCTGGGCTCTGTGCTGCTCTGAGGTGTGTGTGTGTGTGTCACCTGGGCTCTGTGCTGCTCTGAGGTGTGTGTGTGTGTGTGTGTGTCACCTGGGCTCTGTGCTGCTCTGAGGTGTGTGTGTGTGTGTGTCACCTGGGCTCTGTGCTGCTCTGAGGTGTGTGTGTGTGTGTCACCTGGGCTCTGTGCTGCTCTGAGGTGAGTGTGTGTGTGTGTGTCACCTGGGCTCTGTGCTGCTCTGAGGTGTGTGTGTGTGTGTCACCTGGGCTCTGTGCTGCTCTGAGGTGAGTGTGTGTGTGTGTGTCACCTGGGCTCTGTGCTGCTCTGAGGTGTGTGTGTGTGTGTGTGTGTGTGTGTGTCACCTGGGCTCTATGCTGCTCTGAGGTGTGTGTGTGTGTGTGTCACCTGGGCTCTGTGCTGCTCTGAGGTGTGTGTGTGTGTGTCACCTGGGCTCTGTGCTGCTCTGAGGTGAGTGTGTGTGTGTGTGTGTGTGTGTCACCTGGGCTCTGTGCTGCTCTGAGGTGTGTGTGTGTGTGTGTGTGTCACCTGGGCTCTGTGCTGCTCTGAGGTGTGTGTGTGTGTGTGTCACCTGGGCTCTGTGCTGCTCTGAGGTGTGTGTGTGTGTGTCACCTGGGCTCTGTGCTGCTCTGAGGTGAGTGTGTGTGTGTGTGTCACCTGGGCTCTGTGCTGCTCTGAGGTGTGTGTGTGTGTGTGTGTCACCTGGGCTCTGTGCTGCTCTGAGGTGTGTGTGTGTGTGTGTGTGTGTGTGTGTGTCACCTGGGCTCTGTGCTGCTCTGAGGTGTGTGTGTGTGTGTGTCACCTGGGCTCTGTGCTGCTCTGAGGTGAGTGTGTGTGTGTGTGTCACCTGGGCTCTGTGCTGCTCTGAGGTGTGTGTGTGTGTGTGTGTGTGTGTGTGTGTGTGTGTGTGTGTGTGTGTGTGTGTGTGTGTGTGTGTGTGTGTGTGTCACCTGGGCTCTGTGCTGCTCTGAGGTGAGTGTGTGTGTGTGTGTGTCACCTGGGCTCTGTGCTGCTCTGAGGTGAGTGTGTAGTTGTGATGGTGGCGATCTTCTCTGCGTTGGTCAGTAATGAGGCGTTTGACGTCTCTATTCGGTCAGAGAGAAAGAGAAACAGTTATATGAATTATAGCTTGAAATCAAGACATTAGAACTGTTGACAGACTTCAGCTTTCATGACTGCAGTTGCACAGCTTTGTAGTGTTTCTTAAGTTATTGCTTCAGAAACTGAAGAAAATTTGACATGTTTTCAGATTGTCCAAGTTTTTGACCAGGCGCCCGAAACACACAGATCAGTGTGTCACTAGGAGCCATTCCTGCACGATCAAAGCTTTACATCAGTGTCTCCAGCACTGCTCCTGGCGTACTCCAACACTGACTACATACTTACTATTCGAGATTTCTACATCAACATTTCCCATAAAGTTAAACTGAATAATCTCTGGATTCAGATTCTAGGCCATAAAACACTTAAAATAGAGGAACAAAAGTACATGTATTTATTTCAGCGCCACCGTGTGGACAGTTCTCATAACATCTGGCAGAAAGCATGATGTAGAAACTCGACCCCTTCTTCTTCCTCTCTCACATGATGAAGGGTAAAGCTCCTGTCATCTGAAACCCAGCAGATGTGTGTGTCGTGTGTGTTCATGTGTGTTCATGTCCACGTCAAGCAGCGGGCACTTCAAAATGTGTTTATATCATGACCATCAGAAAAATGTATGAGTAATTTTAAGGAAAAAGAATGTAAAAATGCTTTAGTATAAACCTGTTCCATGCTAGAATTCTAAAGTAATTATGTATGGAGAAAAATAATAACTCAGCGAGACCCAGCGAGACTCAACGAGACCCAGCGAGACCCATCGAGACTCAGCGAGACCCATCGAGACCCAGCGAGACCCAACAAGACTCAACGAGACCCATCGAGACCCAGCGAGACTCAGCGAGACCCAGCGAGACCCATCGAGACCCATCGAGACTCAGCGAGACCCAGCGAGACCCAGCGAGACTCAACGAGACCCATCGAGACCCAGCGAGACCCAACGAGACTCAACGAGACCCACCGAGACCCAGCGAGACCCAACGAGACCCAGCGAGACCCAGCGAGACTCAACAAGACCTATCGAGACCCAGCGAGACCCAACGAGACCCAGCGAGACCCATCGAGACTCAACGAGACCCAGCGAGACCCAGCGAGACTCAACGAGACCCAGCGAGACCCACGAGACTCAACGAGACCCAGCGAGACCCACGAGACCCAGCGAGACCCACGAGACCCAGCGAGACTCAACGAGACCCATCGAGACCCAGGGAGACCCAGCGAGACCCAAAGAGACCCATCGAGACTCAGCGAGACCCATCGAGACCCAGCGAGACCCATCGAGACCCAGGGAGACCCAGCGAGACCCAACGAGACCCAGCGAGACCCATCGAGACCCAGCGAGACTTAACGAGACCCAACGAGACCCAACGAGACCCAGCGAAACCCAGCGAGACCCAGGGAGACCCAGCGAGACCCAGGGAGACTCAACGAGACCCAGCGAGACCCAGCGAGACCCAGGGAGACCCAGCGAGACCCAGGGAGACTCAGCGAGACTCAGCGAGACCCAGCGGAGACCCATCGAGACCCAGCGAGACCCAGCGAGACCCAGCGAGACCCAGCGAGACCCAGCGAGACCCAGCGAGACCCAGGGAGACCCAGCGAGACCCAGCGAGACCCAGCGAGACTCACCGTCTCCGGGGATGATGCGCAGCGTGACCGCGTGACCCGCCTCTTTGATCAGGTTGACGATGTCCGAGTGTGATTTGTTGGTGATGGAGCAGCTGTTGACCGCTAGGATCCGATCGCCCACCTTCAGCTTTCCACAGCGGTCCGCCGGACTGAACTCGATGATACGACCGATTTTATGAGGCATTGACACGCATGTGTTTCCAGCTGAGGTCCAAGAGACAGAAAAATAAGAAAAATAAGCCCAAATTAAGATAACAGCATCCGCAGAAGGAAATCTCTGTGACCTTTCAATAGATTTGTTCATTTTCAGTTCGTGAAATAATAAAATAACTAGATGTGACCCTGGACCACAACACCACAAGTGGTTGATATATTGTGGCAATGATATTTTGTACATTTTCTACCATAAATATATATTTTTTAAAATGTTGTGAGTGGATACAGCAATGTCGAGGACTTCATCTGGACAACTTTAAAGGCGATTTTCTCAATATTTAGATTTGTTTGCACCCTCAGATTCCAGATTTTCAATAATTGTCCTATCATAGCAAACCATACATCAATGTAAAGCTTATTTATTGAGCTTTCAGAGGATATATAAATCTCAATTTTACAAAATTGACCCTTGTGACTGGTTTTGTAGTCCAGGGTCACATATATAGTCTGTTTTTAAAACAGGAGGGCATCCCGTGTGTATTCTGGGAGCTTTTGAGTATCAACCGTGATTGTGAAATCCCCTGATGGAGTGAAGGATCTCACCGAAGGTGGTGTTCGCATCCGGCCTGGACACGGAGGACACGATGACGAAGCCGAAGCCCTCGCTCTCGGCGCGCTGGATCTCCACGTCGTAGGGTTGCAGGGCCGTGACCGTACTCCCACTGCCACCTCCACCCCCACTGCCGATGCCACTGGTGCTGCCGGAGCCCGAGCTCACGGTGTTCAGCGAGTTCTGGCTGCCCTGAGGCGTGCGCTTCTCCTCGGTGAGCGACGGAGCCTGTGTGCTGCTGTGGTGAGAGGAGGCCGGAGACGGGGGAACGTCCCCCTCGCCCTTATAACCTGCAGACAGAGAAAACATCAGAGAGACCATCAGAGAAACAGCAGAGAAAAGCAGAGAGACCATCAGAGAAACCAGCAGAGAAACAGAGAGACCATCAGAGAAACAGCAGAGAAACCAGCAGAGAAACAGAGAAAACCAGAGAGACCATCAGAGAAACAGCAGAGAAAAGCAGAGAGACCATCAGAGAAACAGCAGAGAAACAGCAGAGAAACCATCAGAGAAACCATCAGAGAAACCAGCAGAGAAACCATCAGAGAAACCTTCAGAGAAACAGCAGAGAAAAGCAGAGAGACCATCAGAGAGACCATCAGAGAAACCAGCAGAGAAACCATCAGAGAGACCATCAGAGAAACCATCAGAGAAACCATCAGAGAAACCAGCAGAGAAACAGCAGAGAAACCATCAGAGAAACCATCAGAGAAACCATCAGAGAAACCAGCAGAGAAACCATCAGAGAAACCTGCTGAGAAACAGCAGAGAAAAGCAGAGAGACCATCAGAGAGACCATCAGAGAAACCAGCAGAGAAACCATCAGAGAGACCATCAGAGAAACCATCAGAGAAACCATCAGAGAAACCAGCAGAGAAACAGCAGAGAAACCATCAGAGAAACCATCAGAGAAACCATCAGAGAAACCAGCAGAGAAACCATCAGAGAAACCATCAGAGAAACAGCAGAGAAAAGCAGAGAGACCATCAGAGAAACCAGCAGAGAAACAGAGAGACCATCAGAGAAACAGCAGAGAAACCAGCAGAGAAACAGAGAGACCATCAGAGAAACAGCAGAGAAACCAGCAGAGAAACAGAGAGACCATCAGAGAAACAGCAGAGAAACCAGCAGAGAAACAGAGAAAACCAGAGAGACCATCAGAGAAACAGCAGAGAAAAGCAGAGAGACCATCAGAGAAACAGCAGAGAAACAGCAGAGAAACCATCAGAGAAACCATCAGAGAAACCAGCAGAGAAACCATCAGAGAAACCTTCAGAGAAACAGCAGAGAAAAGCAGAGAGACCATCAGAGAGACCATCAGAGAAACCAGCAGAGAAACCATCAGAGAGACCATCAGAGAAACCATCAGAGAAACAGCAGAGAAACCATCAGAGAAACCATCAGAGAAACCAGCAGAGAAACCATCAGAGAAACCTGCAGAGAAACAGCAGAGAAAAGCAGAGAGACCATCAGAGAAACAGCAGAGAAAAGCAGAGAGACCATCAGAGAAACCATCAGAGAAACAGCAGAGAAAAGCAGAGAGACCATCAGAGAAAACCAGAAAAAAGCAGAGAGACCATCAGAGAAACCATCAGAGAAAAGCAGAGAGACCATCAGAGAAACCATCAGAGAGACCATCAGAGAAACCATCAGAGAAAAGCAGAGAGACCATCAGAGAAACAGCAGAGAAAAGCAGAGAAAAGCAGAGAGACCATCAGAGAAACAGCAGAGAAAAGCAGAGAAAAGCAGAGAGACCATCAGAGAAACCATCAGAGAAACCAGCAGAGAAACCATCAGAGAGACCATCAGAGAAACCAGCAGAGAAACCAGCGGAGAAACCATCAGAGAAACCATCAGAGAGACCATCAGAGAAACAGCAGAGAAAAGCAGAGAAAAGCAGAGAGACCATCAGAGAGACAGCAGAGAAAAGCAGAGAGACCATCAGAGAAACCAGCAGAGAAACCATCAGAGAGACCATCAGAGAAACCAGCAGAGAAACAGCAGAGAAACCATCAGAGAAACCATCAGAGAAACCAGCAGAGAAACCATCAGAGAAACCTGCAGAGAAACAGCAGAGAAAAGCAGAGAGACCATCAGAGAAACAGCAGAGAAAAGCAGAGAGACCATCAGAGAAACCATCAGAGAAACAGCAGAGAAAAGCAGAGAGACCATCAGAGAAAACCAGAAAAAAGCAGAGAGACCATCAGAGAAACCATCAGAGAAAAGCAGAGAGACCATCAGAGAAACCATCAGAGAGACCATCAGAGAAACCATCAGAGAAAAGCAGAGAAAAGCAGAGAGACCATCAGAGAAACAGCAGAGAAAAGCAGAGAAAAGCAGAGAGACCATCAGAGAAAAGCAGAGAGACCATCAGAGAGACCATCAGAGAAACAGCAGAGAAAAGCAGAGAGACCATCAGAGAAACCATCAGAGAAACCAGCAGAGAAACCATCAGAGAAACCATCAGAGAGACCATCAGAGAAACCAGCAGAGAAACCAGCGGAGAAACCATCAGAGAAACCATCAGAGAGACCATCAGAGAAACCATCAGAGAAAAGCAGAGAGACCATCAGAGAGACAGCAGAGAAAAGCAGAGAGACCATCAGAGAAACCATCAGAGAAACCAGCAGAGAAACCATCAGAGAAACCATCAGAGAGACCATCAGAGAAACCATCAGAGAAAAGCAGAGAGACCATCAGAGAAACAGCAGAGAAAAGCAGAGAAACCATCAGAGAAACAGCAGAGAAAAGCAGAGAAAAGCAGAGAAAAGCAGAGAGACCATCAGAGAAACAGCAGAGAAAAGCAGAGAAACCATCAGAGAAACAGCAGAGAAAAGCAGAGAAAAGCAGAGAAAAGCAGAGAAAAGCAGAGAGACCATCAGAGAAACAGCAGAGAAAAGCAGAGAAACCATCAGAGAAACAGCAGAGAAAAGCAGAGAAAAGCAGAGAAAAGCAGAGAAAAGCAGAGAAAAGCAGAGAGACCATCAAAGAAACAGCAGAGAAAAGCAGAGAGACCATCAGAGAAACAGCAGAGAGACCATCAGAGAAACCAGCAGAGAAACAGCAGAGAAACCATCAGAGAAACCATCAGAGAAACCAGCAGAGAAACAGCAGAGAAACCATCAGAGAAACCATCAGAGAAACCATCAGAGAAACCAGCAGAGAAACCATCAGAGAAACCTTCAGAGAAACAGCAGAGAAAAGCAGAGAGACCATCAGAGAAAAGCAGAGAGACCATCAGAGAGACCATCAGAGAAACCATCAGAGAAACCAGCAGAGAAACCAGCAGAGAAACCATCAGAGAAACCTTCAGAGAAACAGCAGAGAAAAGCAGAGAGACCATCAGAGAAAAGCAGAGAAACCATCAGAGAAACCAGCAGAGAAACAGCAGAGAAACCATTAGAGAAACCATCAGAGAAACCATCAGAGAAACCAGCAGAGAAACCATCAGAGAAACCTTCAGAGAAACAGCAGAGAAAAGCAGAGAGACCATCAGAGAAAAGCAGAGAGACCATCAGAGAGACAGCAGAGAAAAGCAGAGAGACCATCAGAGAGACCATCAGAGAAACCATCAGAGAAACCAGCAGAGAAACCATCAGAGAAACCTTCAGAGAAACAGCAGAGAAAAGCAGAGAGACCATCAGAGAAAAGCAGAGAAACCATCAGAGAAACCAGCAGAGAAACAGCAGAGAAACCATTAGAGAAACCATCAGAGAAACCATCAGAGAAACCATCAGAGAAACCAGCAGAGAAACCATCAGAGAAACCTTCAGAGAAACAGCAGAGAAAAGCAGAGAGACCATCAGAGAAAAGCAGAGAGACCATCAGAGAGACAGCAGAGAAAAGCAGAGAGACCATCAGAGAGACAGCAGAGAAAAGCAAAGAGACCATCAGAGAAACCATCAGAGAAACCATCAGAGAAACCAGCAGAGAAACCATCAGAGAAACCATCAGAGAGACCATCAGAGAAACCATCAGAGAAACAGCAGAGAAAAGCAGAGACCATCAGAGAAACCATCAGAGAAACCATCAGAGAAACCAGCAGAGAAACCATCAGAGAAACCATCAGAGAGACCATCAGAGAAACCATCAGAGAAAAGCAGAGAGACCATCAGAGAAACAGCAGAGAAAAGCAGAGAAACCATCAGAGAAACAGCAGAGAAAAGCAGAGAAAAGCAGAGAAAAGCAGAGAAAAGCAGAGAGACCATCAGAGAAACCATCAAAGAAACAGCAGAGAAACAGAGAAAACATCAGAGAGACCATCAGAGAAACAGCAGAGAAAACATTAGAGAAACAGAGAAACCAGCAGAGAAACAGCAGAGAAAACATTAGAGAAACAGAGAAACCAGCAGAGAAAAGCAGAGAAACAGAGAAACCAGCAGAGAAAAGCAGAGAAACAGAGAGACCATCAGAGAAAAGCAGAGAAAACATCAGAGAAACAGAGAAACCAGCAGAGAGACCAGCAGAGAGACCAGCAGAGAGACCATCAGCTAAACCAGCAGAGAGACCATCAGCTAAACCAGCACATACTGTACGCCCTATTCACACTGTTCGGATGACCATTTATTCCAGGTGGAGCAACAACGAATTTAATAAATCCTATTTATTATTAAATAAAATAAATTATATTTTGGCATTTATTATATTTCTATGGTGTTTTATGGTATTTGTACAGCTGTTATTTTATTTGTTTTGATATTATTATTATTTAAATTTTTTACTGTGAAGCACTTTGTGACCCTTCCTTGTCTGTGAAAGGTGCTATATAAATAAACGTTACTTATGGCTCGTTTCCACTGAGCGGTATGGTATGGTACGGTACAGTTCGGTACGCAATTAGTTGCGTTTCCACTGTCAAAAGTTGTGAATGGTACCAAAAAGCCGAACCGTACCGTACCACTTTTTGTGTACCCTTCCGTTGGGGTACCTAGCACAGCGGTACGGTACTAAAAGGTGGAGCTAAACTCACTGCAGAACGTTGATTGGTTGACAGAGTATCGTCACTTGCGCGTGCTACAAGGGCATTAGAAGCGCCATTTGCCATTAGAAGCGCCATACAGTTGAAATATAATAAACTGTTATTGTGTCACGAAATGTAGTTTTAAGAGTTTTTCAGGCGAGAATGTAGTTTTTTAAAGCTCAAATCTGTGGTTTATTTATAGATTTATGATAATTTGACTGAGATCCATTCCAAGCAATCACCGGGTGCTCGGCTCAAGTACCCCGCCTGGGACAGCCTTTCCTCGGCTAGTCGTTCTGATGTTTGCCGCTGACTCTGACGTCTCTGTAGTGGTTAAACATGAGATATAATTCGTCTTGTATAGACCTAACCGGCGATCTTTGGTCTCGTGAATCTACAATTCTTTCCCTGGCCCATAGTTTTGGCAGAAGGCTAAGTGAACGTGAAGTTTCATATATTTGAGCGCTGAATTTGTTTATTTGACTGAATTGTTTGCTTTATGTTATTAAAGATTTACTGTATAGCTTTTTGTACCTTTTACTTATACTTTTATAATGGCTATTATTGATAAAACTGAAATGTAACAAAAAGAGATAGGGTTGAGTTTTGTCATTTTTTATTTTATTACAAGACCATCTGTAATGTTGTTTATTGCAACATTTGTACCAATGCACATATTGCCTGGAATATGTTTAATATTTTTAAATTTAAACGAAAAGAGGCAGGGTTGTGTTTACATACATGCAGTGAATATAATCAATAGGATATGCGTTGCCTGAACCACATTTGTGTGCTTATAAAGTTTAAAATGTATTTAGATGAAATCGAAAAGAAGCAGAGTGGTGTTTTATAACATATTTCGTTTTTATTGTTGCCTAAAATGTACATACAGAGATAACTGGAGTAGCAGAGCGAGCTGAGTGGCGCTTTCAAGAACGCGCTGTTCCATTAGCAGAATTACTGGACTCGCGTCCTCGGGAGTCATTCTCCTGAGTCGGACTTTGCGTAGGCTACTTGGTATTGAGAAACGACTAATGCCGGTGCTTGTTTCTTGTGACAAACATGTCGAGAAGCAAGAACAAGATCTGCAGTATGTCATCCATAGTTGTTTACTATGTCGCTTTCTTCTTTGCGCGAAAATGACGTCGATCGCTTCTTTCCGGCAAACACCACGCCTATCAAGTAAGGGTACTGTTGGCGGTGGAAACGCTAGCCGGATCATGGTTTACAGACCCGAACCGTACTGTACCGTACCGTACCGCTTAGTGGAAACGAGCCATTACTTACTAACTATTATTTATTCATTTACACATCCTATTTAATATTAAAAAAATCAACACACTATAGTTCAAATGTTCTTGCATTCTATCTCTCAAAATGAAAAACAGTTCATGTCGTTTTTGCGTTCAAGCCATGTCGGAATTACTGTAATAACGAGATCACGTTGTAACCGCCCAGAACTTGGTTACTGTGGTTTATAAGGGTAATGCCACTACCATGCACTAGGGGGCTCTATGTTGCATTCCTCCTCTTCTATATAGCCAGGTAAGAGGAGAGAAGAAGTTAGTTTTTCCAGAGCGAAGAGCTGGTCTGAGGTCCCGAGGTTTGCGTTCTGTCCACGTATAGACGCAGAGCGGGAACGGGACAGAGAAAAGCCAGGGCTGGGTTTGCCTCCTCCAGGGGCAGCGGGAGTGGGTAGGAACCTTGGGCACGTATCCGGGCCGGGGTCTCAGGATAATGTGAGAGTTGGCCGGGCCGAATTCTAGGCACGATTCATCGACCGAAAATGCCCACCGGTCCCCTACCCTCTTGATGGAGGCCAATGCAACCAGGGGTACTGATTGCAAAGGCTCAAAGGGTGGTCTCTGCAGTCCGGTAAGCACCAGAGATAAGTCCCAAGAGGGTATCAAGAGTGGACGAGGCGGATTTAGTCTCCCCGCCCCCCTCAGGAACCTGACGATCAGGTCTTGCTTCCCCAGCAACTTACCTCAACTGCATCGTGATGTGCGGCGAAAGCGGCAACATACACTTTAAGGGTGGAGGGAGACAGCCTCCACTCAAACCCAGCTTGCAGGAAGGAAAGCACTGCCCTGATCGAGCAAGTTCGGGGGTTCTCCAGGTGAGAAGAACACCACTCAATGAACAGGTTCCATTTCAGTGCATAGAGGCGCCTCGTAGAGGGTGCTCTCGCAGAAGTGATGGTGTCTATCACCGCTTGGAGTAGGTCACCCAGAACCTCCGGTTCCCGTCCAGGGACCAGACATGGAGTTTCCAGAGGTCTGGACGCGGGTGCCAAAGGGTGCCCCGTCTCTGAGAGAGCAGGTCCTCTCTCAGAGGAATGGGCCAGGGAGGGACTGTCGCGAGGAGCACTAGTTCCGGGAACGAGGTCCGGTTGGGGCAATACGGGGAAATGAGCAAGACCTGCTCCTCGTCCTTCCTGACTTTGCACAAGGTCTGTGCAAGAAGGCTAACTGGGGGAAACACATACTTGCGTAGGGCCCTGGGCCAGTTGTGTTCCAGTGCGTCCGTGCCGAGGGTGCCCTCGGACAGGAAATAGAACAACTTGCAGTGGGACGTGTCCGGGGCAGCAAACAGATCTACCTATGCGGTCCCAAAGCGCCTCCAAATCAGCTGGACCACCTGGGGATGGAGTCTCCACTCTCCCTGCTGTCGTGAGAGCTCGTCGGCTGCACGGTTGAGCAGGCCCGGAATGTGAATGGCATGAAGCGACCTCAGATGCTTCTGACTCCATAGGAGGAGATGGCGGGCGAGTTCCGACATGCAGCGGGAGTGTAGACTACCCTGATGGATGATGTACGCCACGGTTGCAGTGCTGTCTGTACGGATCAGTATGTTCTTGTTGTACTGATGTACTGCTAACAACTCGAGGCAGTTAATGTGCCAATGCAGTTGAGGCCCCGTCCACAGACCTGAAGCTGCATGCCCGTTGTACGTGGCCCCCCAGCCGGTGGCAGAGGCATCCATGAAGACAATAGCATGCCTGGACACTTGTTCTAGGGGGACAACTGCCCATAGAAACTAAGGGTCTGACCACGGGCTGAGGGTTTGGCGCTGCCACGACCATCTTGGGACTCGGTTGAGAAGCCAGTGCTGAAGCGGCCTCATATGAAGCAATCCAAAGCGGCGTCACAGCGGCTGCGGATTCCATATGCCCCAGGAGCCTCTGAAAAGGTTTCAGTGGGGCCACTGTCCTGCGTTTGAACGAATTCAAGCAGTTCAACACCGACTGAACACGTAACAAACTCGCACAGGGGCGAGTTTACTCTTCTCCCAGTTGACCCAAAGGTTAAACGCTGCAGACCAATCTTGGGGACGGATGCACCCGAAGATGCGTTTCTGCGTTAGCATCTTGAACGGTAGACTGAGAAGGGACCGATCAAGACTCGCGATTTCCACCGTTCGCCAGTACACGTGTGAACTGGATACCCCTGAAGGCCGGGGAACGCCGGGTGAACTGAATCGCATAGCCCAGTCTGATGGTACGGATGAGCCAGTTGGACCGGCTGGGAAGCGCTAGCCAGGCTCCCAGGCACAGAGAAAGGGGACCAATGGGACCAACGCCGCACCTGCAGGGGTGCAGGTAGCCTGCGAAACAGTGAGCGTGAAACAGAGGGCTACAGTGATTAATGAAAAAAGAATAGTTCCTCAGCTGGAGGAGTGTGTGCTGTGAGTGTGTGTGAGAGCTTCACCTGTGTAAGTGGTCTTTCGCCGCACGCTCAGGTTGACGTGCCCCTGTTTGGCCGCCTGTTGCATGAGCTGCACCACCAGCTGATGAGATTTGCCCACCACAGCGGTTCCGTCCACACAGATGAGCTCGTCTCCGGACCGCAGCCGGCCGTCCTCGTCCGCCGCGCCGAACTTCACGATGTGCCCTATGTAGATCTGGAGCACACACACGTGTCACAGTCACACACTGTCACACACGCAGCTCGACACACACAGCCTGCTGGGAATTCTGGATCATGTCCTCAGACGGGATTCCAATGAAACTATCAGAAAATTATGAGTCAAATCAGCTGTGCTTATGATTATATGTAGCAGAATATTATTTTTATCCTGGGTTGACTGGGACAGACTTCTAGTATCATTGGGAAATTAAGATTCTGATGTCAAATTTTTGTATCGATTATTGTAAATGAAAATTATAGATCAGGAAGTGTGAGGCACTGATACCATCACCAATATTTTCACACTAAAATTGGCCAATATAGAGTAAATTAAAGAAATACACAGTTTGGCCTGTTTATTCATGCAAGGAACAACAGATTCTGTTTTCTGTGTTCATGCAAATTAGAAATTCACATTTATATTTATCTATAGTCATCATAAAGAATCATGCTGTATTGTTTGAGCTCTATTTGACGAGGAAAATACATGTTTTCTAGTTCTATAACTCAACGCAATGCATGTTTATTTGTACGGATGTTATCATCGGACTCACCGGTTCTCCGGGTTCATTTCCGCCCAGGATCCGAAAGCCAAAGCCTGTGTCTTTCCTCCAAAGGAAAATGTCTTGTTCTTGAGAGTCTGGCACTGGACAAATAGAAAAAAATAAATCAGTTTCTTTGCAAGAAATTGGAGGTGTGCAGTATTAATATATATAAGTCTATCACGATATAGTTATTTTGATTGGTTTATATGCTAAATAACCCAGCGGAAATGCCTGTTGTTTGATAAATTACTTTAGAACTCAACGGTAATGTATTTTCTCTTTTCATTTGGGATTTTATGAATGAAAACTAAATCAAACACTCCATGTAAATATTATGAAAAAGATTCACAAACTGCCATGCAGAAATATTACTACCATGGTATAAACTGTAAACGCCTCTATAACAGTCTACAGGTCTTCTACCATCAGAAAGCATGTGTATATTTTACTGCTGTTGTTAGTAGTTAATACACATGCATATATGCATGATGAAAAGCAGAAATGCAGACGGGTAAGGATTCGCGGTCAGACTAAGCCTCGGCCGGTCAGACGTCTGCTTCCCCACACAGAGAACAGCATCATGTAAACATGGAGCGTTTATCTGCCCTGCCGGACACGCTGCTCGTTTAAAAGGTCTGGATGAGCCGAGCTACTCCATGTGGAGTGTTTAACAGGCCTGACTGGGATCTGGCACTGGGATCTGGCACTGGAGTCTGGCACGGGAAGGCCGGAGCGCACATGGACATCTCCTCAGGTACAGCTGCTCTCTCTTCAGACGCCACAGACTCATACGAGACATGATGAGTTTCAGTTTACTGCCAGATCTCTCATCACTGACTCCTGCTCTTCAAATACACCCCTGAGAACTGGTTTATAATGAATACTGTACACGTGACAAAAGACAATAATGAAGATCTTTTAACAGCAATATTTTCAATGCAATTCAACTTTTAAATTTTTTTTAAATACTTTCCTGTATCCCAATGTTAAATTACTAATTTAATAGGCAGAACCAACTATCGGCTTGATTTCCCGATCAAGTATGCAAGTGGTAGCTTTCATACGCCATTCCTCTCTAGTAAGCACCTCAATTTGAGAAAAATTTGAGAAAGATGTGCCAGAGAAACTAGGCAAGCAGTGTTGAAGAGGAAACAGGTGTAGCATGAGTTAGAGTTGTCAATTTTAGAACTGAAAAAATGAAGAAAATTATTACGCAACTGATTTGAACCAGGCATAGAGTTGCCAATGTTAACTTTAAGGAGTCTGTTTATATTTTGAAAGAGATGCCTGGGATTGCTTTGATTATTATCAATAATCTGAGAAAAATAAGCAGATCTTGTAGACTCAATTGCAGCTCTGTATTCCCCCGAGCGGTCTTTCCAAACTTGATAAAATACATTCAAGTCAGAGTAACGCCACTTACGCTCCATTTCACAACAACCGTCTCGGGTTACGACTGTAACCCTGGTTCTCTGAGATCAGGGAACGAGACACTGAGTCCTGAGACACTTCGGGGAACGCCTCAGTGTGACTGATGACTGAAGTACTGTATAATCACGGCAATCCTATTGGCCAGCGACAGCCATAACGTCACCGCTAGTGCGACCAGGAAGTATAACAGGCCGGCTAGAGAACATGTCATGCACTTCTTCGTCTGAAGGGACTGTGCAGGCAGCCCTAAGGCACGGCGAACGACGCAGTGTCTCGTTCCCTGTTCTCAGGGAACAAGGGTTACAGTCGTAACCCGAGACGTTCCCTTTCGAAAGGGAACTCGCACTGTGTCCTGAGACACATTTGGGGAACGAAATACCCACGCTGCCAAGCTCAGGGGATGTATAGCAATCATGGCTGTACTACAAGCACGAACACATTTAACCCAGAGTTAAATCCCCCCTACTGCACACACATCAGGCTGTTAGTCAAGTCAAGTCACATTTATTTATTTAGCGCTTTTTACAATACAGAGTGTTTCAAAGCAGCTTTACAGAGATAACAGGAAAATAATGGAACAAAGTTTGTTTCGAGAAGAACATAGCGTCACAGTCCAGCTCAAGTAAGTTCCGTGATGTTTCATTTTTGTTGTAATAAAGTTATTAATTTAGTTCATTTATATATATAGCCGCTCTGGAGAAAACCGTGACGACATCGTCCAGCTCAGTTCAGTTCTCATATAATGCTGTCAATGCAGGCAGATCACTATTATTGTTGAATATTAAAATAAATGTTAAATTAAAAGTAGCACTACCCCCTACAGCCACTGCCCGAGCTTCATACTTAATGAGGAAGCATCCTTGTGCTTCGACACGAAGGGCTTGACCCAGAGCCAGCTCAAAGGCCTGGACACCACATCCCAACTTAGAGGGGTTCCTTTAAGGGAGTATGACCCAGACCCATTGGGCCCTAGCCTGCTACTTTCAGGGGGACCAGTGTCAACCCCTGTACCAGGGAGGCTAACATGCTTTATCAGCTGAAGCCAACAACCTGTGTGTTTTTGTTTCTTTTTTTTTTACTCTAACCAGAGACAAATAGCTCCTTCACATGGCTATGGGAAGTGGAGGCCTCAGCAGGACGACTCTAGAAGAAGAGGAGGCCTGCCACACTCACACTACAGTGGTCTCTAGTGCTTTCTCTCACAATGTGGAAAAACGGCTCAGCTCAGATATGCACAATGCAGAGTTCAGGGAACGAGGGGCCTAAAGAGGCCTCAGCAGGATGAATCTTTTATGGAAGAGGAGGCTTGCCATTCTCACACCAGAGGATTTCTAGTGTTTTCCTCATACCATGTGGAAAAGAAGCTAAGCTTAGAAATGTCCAGCACAGAGTGAAGGGGGCAGCTCACTATTATGAGAAGAGCCCTCTTTTCTAGCTTTACCTGCAAAGGCTGTTTGCATGAAGGCCTCATAGGATGACTCTTTTAAGGAAGAGGCGGCCTGCCATACTGTCAAAACCTACTAAGCTCAGATATGTCTAGCACAGAGCTCAAGCAGCGAAGGGCCTAAACATAACTCTCTGATACAACGAGAGAGAGACCTCTTCTTATGCGAAGAAAATTCTATTTGCATGGAACTCTGGAGGATGGAGGACTCAACATGACGAATCTTTTAAGGAAGAGAAGGCCTGCCATACTCACACCAATGCAGTTTCTAGAGCCTTTTCTCACAGCGTGTAAAAATAGCTTAGCTCAGATACGCACAGTGCAGAGCTCAGGGAGCGAGGGGCCTAAAGAACAGCTCTTTATATTGAGAGGGCCCTTCCTCGAACTCTAGCTGCAACGCTGTTTGCATGGAGGCCTCAGCAGGATGACTCTTGAAGAAGAAGAGGACTGTCAAATGTTTGATGACAGCTAGGCTCAAATATCACCGAGCTCAGGGAGCGAGGAGGCCTAAAAACCACTCTCAGTGAGAGAGAGAGACCACTTCTCTAACTCTACCTGAAAAGCTGTTTGCATGGAGGCCTCAGCAGGATGACTCTTTTAATGAAGAGGAGACCTGCCATACTCACACCAGAGAGTTTCTAGTGTTATCTCTTACCATGTAAAAAAACAGCTCAGAAAATGCATAACACTGAGCTCAAAAAGCGAAGTGCCTAAAACACAACTCTCTGATATAAAGAGAGAGAGAGGCCTCTTCCCAATTGCAAATAAAAATCTATTTGCATGGAACTCTGGAGGATGGAGGCCTCAGGATGATGACTCTCAGATGAGAGGAAGCCTACAACATCCATATAGGAATGTGGCCGCAAGCGATGTACTCAGCATAACTACTCTAAAATAAAGGGGAACACTAAAGTCTGGTCGTTTGAGGGAGGCTTTACACTGGAAGCCGGTCACCTTAACACGTCCTGCCTGCTGGGAATATAGAGGCCCAAACTCTGTGGAGGCCTGCTATGATTCAACCAGAGGTAAAGTACTCTGCGTAATTACCCTTTCAAACTCGGCGGCTATCTGTAAAACGGAGCACTCTGTAAAAATACCCTCTTAAACGAGGGGAGAACCATCTAAATTTTTTGTTTTGTTTTTGGAAACAGTTTGTTTTCGGGGCGGCAGTGGCTCAGTGGTTCATGTAGGTTGTCTGCGAACCGAAAGGTTTTGGTGGTTCAATCCCCGGTTCCACCTGACCAAGTGTCGAGGTGTCCATGAGCAAGACACCTAACCCCAGCTGCTCCCGACGAGCTGGAGCCTTGCATGGCTGACACCGCCGACGGTGTATGAATGAGTGAGTGAATGGGTGAATGTGAGGCAAATGTAAAGCGCTTTGGTGGCCATTGGGTCTGTGAAAGCGCTATATAAATGCAGTCCATTTACCATTGGAAACAACATGAAGGCAGAAAGAGGAGGGTAGGCACAGGGAAGGAGGTGATTTATCTGCCTCTGCCCACGCCAGGACGCTCACTCCTGGTCTGGAGTACTTCCCTGACACCCTGCCTCCTTCTTCTTGACTCGCTCCGTCTCAGAGACCTGGTCCTAGTGGGAGGAGGAGCACGAGCGGCGACGGAGTCCCTCTGGCCACGCCTTCGGTTCTCGGACCGAGACAGGCCAGGGCCCCCATGCTGTCTGGGTGTGGACTCGGACCGGCGCGTTATAAATTATCTACATGCGGCCGAGCGCACCCTCGCCTCCCTGAACCTTCCGACCACTGTCTCAACGGAGGTCCCGAAAAGTTCAGTGGGCGAGACTGGGGCATCGAGGAGAAAGGACTTCTCTTTCTCCCCGATGCTCGCCAAGTTCACCCACAGATGCCTCTCCGTGGCCACCATAGGCTCATCGATAGGCCGACCGCGGCGGAGGTCTGTTTGGTGGCCCGGAGAGCAAGATTTGTGGTGCGGCACAACTCAGCCACAGCGCCCGGGGTTAGACCCTGACCCTGGTCCAAGTCCCTCAGCAGATCAGCCTGGTACGCCTGCAACACAGCCATTGTGTGCAGTGCAGCACCAGCCTGACCCGCCGCCACATATGCCCTGCCATTTAAAAGGAACGTGGTCTTTAGTGGTTTAGATGGCAGGGCCGGAGCTCTCAGTGTTGATGAGAGATAGCTCGCGAATGTCTCTTCAATGGGGGGCAGTAATACATACCTGTGTTCTTGCATTCCCACCACATTCACGTAATCCGAGTGTTGGAACCGGTGAATGCGAGAATACAGGTTCTTCCATGCCTTCTCAACCTCAGCATGGAGGTCGGGAAGGAATGGAAGGCTTACTGGAGCTGGTGTTGTGGCCAGCGAGGAAGCGCTCGTCGAGTCTTCCACGAGCAGCTTCCCCTCTGACGTGCTGCCATGGCAACTCAAGCCTAGCGGTGGCGCTCTCCATCACCTCCACTAGCTCAGTGTACACGGGGCAGGTCGGGTTCAGGCATTTCAGGATCTTCACCCGCATCTGCCTCCTCCTGCTGGTCCTGGCTCGAAGCCAGCAGACAGACAAGACAGACAAGAGCGGAGCGTTCTGATAGATAGACTGAGCGCGCATGCTCCTCACACAAACAAAACACGCACAGGTCGTGAGTGTCACCAGGTTTAAGATATCTCTTACACGGGTCGGCACACTTCCTGAAACGTTTGTCGCTTGCCATGAGAAAATATCTTACTTCACAGTACCAGCAAACAGTCCCTGAAGATGAAAAGAGGATGACATGTTCTCTAGGCGCCCTCTTATACTTCCTGGTCGCATAAGCGGTGACGTCATGGCTATCGCCGGCCAATACGATTGTTGTGATTATACAGTACTTCAGTCATCAGTCAAGCTGAGGCGTTCCCCAAACGTGTCTAAGGACGCAGTGCGAGTTCCCTTTCGAAAGAACTGCCTTCTTAGAGCGCAGCTTGTCATTATACCAAGGGGCAGTACGAGCAAAAGTGACATTGCGTCATTGAGTCTACAAGTGTGTGGTCAGTCTACAGGTGTGGTCAGCCTACAGCTATGTCAACAGGTGTGCGGTCAGTCTACAGGTGTGTGGGCAGTCTACAGGTGTGCGGTCAGTCTACAGGTGTGGTCAGCCTACAGGTGTGTCTACAGGTGTGTGGTCAGTCTACAGGTGTGTCTACAGGTGTGTGGTCAGTCTACAGGTGTGTGATCAGTCTACAGGTGTGTCTACAGGTGTGTGGTCAGTCTACAGGTGTGTCTACAGGTGTGTGGTCAGTCTACAGGTGTGTCTAGAGGTGTGCGGTCAGTCTACAGGTGTGGTCAGCCTACAGGTGTGTCTACAGGTGTGTGGTCAGTCTACAGGTGTGCAGTCAGTCTACAGGTGTGCGGTCAGTCTACAGGTTTGCGGTCTGTCTACAGGTGTGTGGTCAGTCTACAGGTGTGTCTACAGGTTTGCAGTCAGTCTACAGGTGTGTCTACAGTTGTGTGGTCAGTCTACAGGTGTGTCTACAGGTGTGCAGTCAGTCTACAGGTGTGGTCAGCCTACAGGTGTGTCTACAGGTGTGCGGTCTGTCTACAGGTGTGCGGTCTGTCTACAGGTGTGTGGTCAGTCTACAGGTGTGTCTACAGGTGTGTGGTCAGTCTACAGGTGTGTCTACAGGTGTGTGGTCAGTCTACAGGTGTGTGATCAGTCTACAGGTGTGTCTACAGGTGTGTGGTCAGTCTACAGGTGTGGTCAGCCTACAGGTGTGCGGTCTGTCTACAGGTGTGTGGTCATTCTACAGGTGTGTCTACAGGTGTGCGGTCAGTCTACAGGTGTGGTCAGCCTTCAGGTGTGTGGTCTGTCTACAGGTCTGTGGTCAGTCTACAGGTGTGGTCAGCCTTCAGGTGTGTGGTCTGTCTACAGGTCTGTGGTCAGTCTACAGGTGTGTCTACAGGTGTGCGGTCAGTCTACAGGTGTGGTCAGCCTACAGATATGTCTAAAGGTGTGCGGTCAGTCTACAGGTGTGGTCAGCCTACAGGTGTGTCTACAGGTGTGCGGTCTGTCTACAGGTGTGTGGTCAGTCTACAGGTGTGTCTACAGGTGTGTGGTCAGTCTACAGGTGTGTCTACAGGTGTGTGATCAGTCTACAGGTGTGTCTACAGGTGTGTGGTCAGTCTACGTGTGTGTGATCAGTCTACAGGTGTGTCTACAGGTGTGTGATCAGTCTACAGGTGTGTCTACAGGTGTGTGGTCAGTCTACAGGTGTGTGATCAGTCTACAGGTGTGTCTACAGGTGTGTGGTCAGTCTACAGGTGTGTCTACAGGTGTGTGGTCAGTATACAGGTGTGTCTACAGGTGTGCGGTCAATCTACAGGTGCGTGATCAGTCTAAAGGTGTGTCTACAGGTGTGTGGTCAGCCTAAAGGTGTGTCTACAGGTGTGCGGTCTGTCTACAGGTGTGTGGTCAGTCTACAGGTGTGTCTACAGGTGTGTGGTCAGTCTACAGGTGTGTGATCAGTCTACAGGTGTGTCTACAGGTGTGTGGTCAGTCTACAGGTGTGTGATCAGTCTACAGGTGTGTCTACAGGTGTGTGGTCAGTCTACAGGTGTGTCTACAGGTGTGTGATCAGTCTACAGGTGTGTGGTCTGTCTAAAGGTCTGTGGTCAGTCTACAGGTGTGTCTACAGGTGTGCGGTCAGTCTACAGGTGTGGTCAGCCTACAGGTATGTCTACAGGTGTGCGGTTAGTCTACAGGTGTGGTCAGCCTACAGGTGTGTCTACAGGTGTGCGGTCTGTCTACAGGTGTGTGGTCAGTCTACAGGTGTGTCTACAGGTGTGTGGTCAGTCTACAGGTGTGCCTACAGGTGTGTGATCAGTCTACAGGTGTGTCTACAGGTGTGTGGTCAGTCTACATGTGTGTGATCAGTCTACAGGTGTGTCTACAGGTGTGTGGTCAGTCTACAGGTGTGTGATCAGTCTACAGGTGTGTCTACAGGTGTGTGGTCAGTCTACAGGTGTGTGATCAGTCTACAGGTGTGTCTACAGGTGTGTGATCAGTCTACAGGTGTGGACAGTCTACAGGTGTGTGGTCAGTCTACAGGTGTGTCTACAGGTGTGCGGTCAGTCTACAGGTGTGTGATCAGTCTACAGGTGTGTGGTCAGTCTACAGGTGTGTGATCAGTCTACAGGTGTGTCTACAGGTGTGTGATCAGTCTACAGGTGTGTCTACAGGTGTGTGGTCAGTCTACAGGTGTGTCTACAGGTGTGCGGTTAGTCTACAGGTGTGTGATCAGTCTACAGGTGTGTCTACAGGTGTGTGGTCAGCCTACAGGTGTGTCTACAGGTGTGCGGTCTGTCTACAGGTGTGTGGTCAGTCTACAGGTGTGTCTACAGGTGTGTGGTCAGTCTACAGGTGTGTCTACAGGTGTGGTCAGCCTACAGGTGTGTCTACAGGTGTGCGGTCTGTCTACAGGTGTGTGGTCAGTCTACAGGTGTGTCTACAGGTGTGTGGTCAGTCTACAGGTGTGTCTACAGGTGTGGTCAGCCTACAGGTGTGTCTACAGGTGTGCGGTCTGTCTACAGGTGTGTGGTCAGTCTACAGGTGTGTCTACAGGTGTGTGGTCAGTTTACAGGTGTGTCTACAGGTGTGTGGTCAGTCTACAGGTGTGTGATCAGTCTACAGGTGTGTCTACAGGTGTGTGGTCAGTCTACAGGTGTGTCTACAGGTGTGTGATCAGTCTACAGGTGTGTGATCAGTCTACAGGTGTGTCTACAGGTGTGTGGTCAGTCTACAGGTGTGTCTACAGGTGTGTGATCAGTCTACAGGTGTGTCTACAGGTGTGTGGTCAGTCTACAGGTGTGTCTACAGGTGTGTGGTCAGTCTACAGGTGTGTGATCAGTCTACAGGTGTGTCTACAGGTGTGTGGTCAGTCTACAGGTGTGTCTACAGGTGTGTGATCAGTCTACAGGTGTGTCTACAGGTGTGTGGTCAGTCTACAGGTGTGTCTACAGGTGTGGTCAGCCTACAGGTGTGTCTACAGGTGTGCGGTCTGTCTACAGGTGTGTCTACAGGTGTGGTCAGCCTACAGGTGTGTGATCAGTCTACAGGTGTGTCTACAGGTGTGTGGTCAGTCTACAGGTGTGTCTACAGGTGTGCGGTCTGTCTACAGGTGTGTCTACAGGTGTGGTCAGCCTACAGGTGTGTGGTCAGTGCGGTCACTCACAGCGGCTCTCATACATGCTCCTGGACTGCGCCCAGATCCTGAAGGGGTCCGGCTTTTTCTGCAGAGTCCCGTTGGTAGCGGGGGGGTCGAAGGGCGGCAGGACGGGCAGCGGCTGGGTGGGCGGAGGCGGGACGGGTGGAGGGACGGGTGGAGGGGGTCCTGGGGCTCCCGGGGCAGAGCAGGGCAGCAGGCGTGCGGGCGAGTCTGTGTGAGCGCTGCGGTGACTGCAGACGCTGTGCTGAGAGCTGCCCTGACTGTCCTTACGCTCCAGCTGCTGACACACACAGCAAACACACAAATAACCATTCTGCCATACTTCACCACACATGTCATTTCAAACCGTTTTCTTTTCTACAGGGAAGCACAAAAGGCTGAATGTTCAAGCGTCTGTTATCTTTGACTCAAAAGCTCTAAACTGGCAACAATTAACATACAGGAAACTGCCAAGTTTCCAACACTACCATAGAATTAGACTTCTGAAGCCAAACCACAGCTTTCTGACAGACGGGAATTTAAGATGTTCTTGATGAAGCATTTTGTTAAAGGTATAATCGGATGCAAAATTCACTTTTATATGGTGTTTGCATATAAATGTGTCTTTGCAGTGTGTGGACACAACCGCCATACAATGACAAAAATCTGATGACCCCTTTAAAGGCAAAGATTTCTCCGTTTTTTGCATTCTTTTAGCAAACCCTTCCACCCTTGGTTGACTATCAACAAAGCTGACATCATTCATGCACTTCCCAGTCATTTTTACTAGATATTTATAATGTCATTCCCCTAGCATGATATTGATTATCAAAGGCTAATAACACATTTTGCAATGTCTGACCAAACAAGGTCTTCGTCAGGCCTGATTAAGACCTTGTTTGGTTGAAACATGGCAATATATTAAAGTCCCTGTAAAGTCAAAATTAAGTATGTGTTCTGAGTTTGTCACACCACAGAAAAATGTGTTATTAGCCACCCTGCCAAATTTGAATGATAAAAAAGCCAGCAAGTACATAAAATAAGCTATCAAAATCTTGAAAAAATGAGCAGTAATCTCTGCTCTCAAACGCTGGGGGCGTGTCCGCTGGCTGTGCTGAAGCCACGCCCACTCGCGGGAAAGCTGCCGTCGACTCGTCACACTCAACTCTACAGCCGAAATGGATGCTCGCACGGTGGGCACGCACTGCCGATGATGGCACCACCGGCGCGACGGGAGGATGAAGGCCGAAGCGGAAGATAGTCGGTTCAGCCCCATTCACCAGTAACAGCGGATTATCAGTGAATGTCTCAGTTGTCTCCGACGAAAGTTTATAAAACTATCCCGTGTAAAATGATCACTTACAGAGGCGGGTTTTGGCAGTGATCCTCAGCTCTCCATCAAGGTTGGCTCTTCACAAAATTAATCCACTTCTTCTTGATGTAATCGTTTTTCGGAAATTTAAATAAGGACACCGATCTGTTTTGTATGTGATCCGGTGATCGCATCCAGGTAGTAGGCCTACGCTTTTCTGTGACGAAGTCATAGCTAGCTAGCAATCTGTAGGCTGCTGTAGTAACTAATAGTACTGACCGTAACTCACGATTGAGCGGCAAAACTGATGTGAATTTGCTCTTTATTGTTAGGGGAGCGGACAGCTTTAGGGGCTCCAGTGCGTCATCAAGTAGGGGCGTGTCCAGGAGCTCAGGGGCTCCAGTGCGTCATCAAGTAGGGGCGTGTCCAGGAGCTCAGGGGCTCCAGTGCGTCATCAAGTAGGGGCGTGTCCAGGAGCTCAGGGGCTCCAGTGCGTCATCAAGTAGGGGCGTGTCCAGGAGCTCAGGGGCTCCAGTGCGTCATCAAGTAGGGGCGTGTCCAGGAGCTCAGGGGCTCCAGTGCGTCATCAAGTAGGGGCGTGTCCAGGAGCTCAGGGGCTCCAGTGCGTCATCAAGTAGGGGCGTGTCCAGGAGCTCAGGGGCTCCAGTGCGTCATCAAGTAGGGGCGTGTCCAGGAGCTCAGGGGCTCCAGTGCGTCATCAAGTAGGGGCGTGTCCAGGAGCTCAGGGGCTCCAGTGCGTCATCGAGCCCCGTTTTAGCCCCGCCCAAAAAATTCAATTCAATTCAATTCAAGAAACGTTCATCCCAAGCAAAGGCTGGATATTGGCTTTATGAGTTTATTGTCATTTTCACAGCCGTTACACATCACACATCACACACCCATCACCTGATTCATCCTGGTTAAATACTGCAGTAAAACGCTCCCACCTCCTTCCTGTCAATACAGCGTTATTATATCAAAATACAATTGTATCTACTTTTAAGTGAAACCTTTGTAATCGTGATATTATTTTTATTATATTATTCTTTAAATGTTTTACATCTGAATGAACTGTAACGAATTAGTTACCAGATTTTTTTATCCTGATTACGTAACGCCGTTACCAGGGGCGAAAAATTGACCAAAAAAATCTTTAAAACCATACATTTTTTTGTAAATAAGTTGTATCGTTTTAAAGATTTTTTTGGTCAATTTAGTCAGCTTTTTCATTCATCAAGCCACCAAAATACATTTGAATTTTTTTTACATACCTTTAGAACAACTGAATCAAGCCCAGTGTATAGTGTATATTGTGTGTATAGATAGATAATGTAGAAAAAGTGACACAATTTTATGCAACTGAGATGACGGGAATCATGTTTTATTTACTACGGAAAAGTCGATTGGGGTCATAGACCCCAAAGATAAATGAGGGTTAAAGTAGCATTTAGATGTTTTTACACAGACATAAATAATATTATGACGTAAAAAAAAAAAAAAAAAAAAAAAAATTATTAAAAATATTTGAAATGATTAAAAACATGAAAAGATACTTTAAATGTGAAATTAAAACCGCCAATAGGAGGCAGTAAGTCACTGTTAATGAGTGGGTCATTGAGATTCATTCAACTGATTGTTCAAAAAGCTGATTCATTCAGTAAGGAAACACCTACTGTGTGTTTCTCAGTGTTGTGGCTTAATTTTCAACTATTTTCGTTGGTAATATGGTGTCTAAAATGTACATAACTTAATATTAACTTCTTGTTTATTAAACTTGCATCAAATCAAAATCACGTTTGTTATCATGCTGATATCTGGAGAAAAACGGCACTCTTCGTGTGATATTATATTAGATTAACTATATTAAATGATATAAAACCGACTAAATCACAGTGAAAGCGTTAAAATCTAAATGCGCACCCGGACTAACGATAGTCAATCTAATCTACAAGACTAACGTTACATCACGTAACGTTAGTGTATGTGTACGTTACACTCTATGGGTGTGGGTGTGTGTGGGGGGATATAACTTATAAACAAGCTAGGTAAACGCAGACTGTATTAAACAAGGGTAACGTTAAACGTTATAATCGCTAACAGAGCAGACTACATCAGTGACAAAAGTACATTAGTACACAATCATATATTTGTTTTTTTACATGATTTATTAATGACTCAGCATCAGCTATATTAAAGAGAAAATAATCACTTCATCCGATGTTTAAAGTGAATAAAATAACATTGACTTGCTGGAGTTCCACAACTACTCAAAAACTTAGTTCATCTCTCCCGCCACCGGAATGTGTGTGTGTCGTGGTGAGGTAAAAGGGGCGGAGGCAGTGGACCAACGCACTGTGAGGCAAGGGAGGGGGGACTCAACTTTTTTTTGTCGTTGCCCCGTTTGCATTTGTGTTTTATTTCTTAAACAATTATTATATCATTATTTTATTTACAACACACATATTTTAATGATATTTTAGGGGGGACAACCCTCAGATAGGGGGGGTCCTGACCCCCCCGACCCCCCCGCGATTTCCGCCTATGGCCGTTACATGTATTCCGTTACTCCA